GGGTGAGTGGGAGAGTGGGTGAGTGGGTGAGTGGGTGAGTGCGTGAGTGGGTGAGTGGGTGAGTGGGTGAGTGGGTGAGTGGGTGAGTGGGTGGGTGGGTGCGTGGGTGCGTGGGTGCGTGGGTGCGTGGGTGCGTGCGGGCGGGCGGGCGGGCGGGCGTGCGGGCGGGCGTGCGGGCGTGCGGGCGTGCGGGCGTGGGTGGGTGCGTGCGTGCGTGCGTGAGTGAGTGAGTGAGTCAGTGAGTGAGCGAGCGAGTGAGTGAGTGAGAAAATGCGCACGGCACCACAACTAGAAGCACCCGCCGTCGGCCCCCCAGATTCTGCGAGCTGCACATTGACGATGCCGAGAGATATGAATGTACTGTAAATAGCAGCGAATTAGCCGCACACGCCCGCGCACTTCAGCGATCTAAGCATCAGCCGCTTTTCACTCACCATAAGAACCCCTAGTGTGTCCACACTGTTTGGGGAACAATGACCACCTCACCACTAGCCACTCGGAGCCTGAATCGGCAGATAGCAATTGGAAAGACAAGGCCAAAACAGCTGAACGTCAAACTGGGACAAACCGTGGCGAAGTAAGTGGAAACATGTTGTAGCAGCTAGTAGCAAGGACGCAAGTGAGCTCGGGCTTGGTTTCTTTGCATGATAAAAACGGTTCCAAGGTTCTAGACAAACGCTGAACCAACCCAAACGAACAATCTACGTTGACAAACCAGAAACAAAACTAATTATAAACAATCTTCAGAGCAGCCCCTAAGCCGAAAGAAGTGGAATGTGAGCAAAAACAAAAATAAAACAATTGTGGAGAAGCCATACAGTGGCCCGTGGTCAGTGGCTGATGAAAGCAACTGATAAGTGGCCAATGGCTAGAAAAATCGTCTAGTCAGGAGTCTAGGTCATCGAGAGAAGTGGTTCTCATCGTTAAGATGTGTCAATAGCTTGTTTAACTCCGTGGGAACGTGCGCGTTGAGTCCTTTTCAGGCTGGGCTTTGGTGCATCAATGGGATTTGTCATGTACACAGGTCTTCTCAGTGCATTGATTAGGAAACTTGAATGAATGCCCATTCGGAGTTAAACATATCTGCGATAAGTATGAGCAAGTCTAGACAAGTAGCATCCGGGTTCATGCCATCTAGCTTGATGTCTCTACTTACATGCATTTGACAGTCTTTAATTACATATTACCGGACTCCCAAAAGGTGTGAGTCAATTGCTTTGTGGCCTGAGTGGTATCGCCAGTAAACCCTGGTACAATTTTGGAAAGGAACTTCCTGCTCCATCACCTCCGGTCTTTGCTTCCCGCCGCCGCTTCAATTCCTGCAGCGGTCGAGTGGACAATTGAAAACATGCGTGGTCACACAGTTTGTGCCATCAAGATGAAGCATTCAGAAAAACATGAGCGATGTAGCTAGATTCTTGTGGGAAGTTAGCTGAAGGGAAGAGTTTTAATTAAACATTTTAAGAAATGCAGAGCTACTAATCTGAACGACTACGAGCATAAAAGCCTCATTTACGCTTAAGCTGCTGTTACAAAGGGGTTACTGTAATTGCCAGCACTGCCTTCAAGTTTTGCTCTTTGTTCAGCAGTGCTGCTGGCTTGGGCTGCTTTGCAGTTGTAGTTGCTCAGCTTCAGTGTTCGTCTGGGGTTTGTTGGGCGCAGTCTCCGGTGAAGTGGTATACCAGTTGTTCTACGAGCACATTCTGCTGATCTTTGCGAAAAATGCACCGGAGCCGGAGCAGGGGAGCTGTCGCCTCAGAACTGGCAACTTTGTATATAGTACAAAAATGTGGCTTCTGGAAGCTGTGGCCTCAGAACTGGCAACTTTGTTTTACCTACGAGGCCATACTTGCATATATAATTTTATAGTAGTATATGTGCTCTGAAGTGCAGGATTTGTCAACCTTGTTCTGTCTGTGACTTGGGAACAGCAAGCTGCTCTCTTTATACATTCCAGAGACTCAATGAGCATGTCAGACTTTCATTATTTTCGTGATTTCAACTCTCAGCCCCCAAGTAGTCAACCTGATTCCAGACCCAGCATTGGCACTCTGTTCTCGCTTTAAAGGTACAGTAGATCGTGAGCAAGGGGCAACTTCACTTCTCTGAAAATAGAATCAAATCCAACATGGCCTTCCGACACAAGAACCTTCCAGCACTGGCGTTACTGCCCATTCCCATTCCAACCGAAGTCTCCTTAGCTGCTTGCTCGCAGCCTGGCACTGAGCAAAGCAGCTCCAGCTGCTCGTGTAACATTTGTGCGTTTTCTTCCAAAACCTGGCAGCTAAGCGGTCAAGAATTTTCTAAGAGATGGTGGGCTGGTGGGTGGGCTGGGTGGGCTGGCTTGCAATGTGTAAAAGATCAAAGCAATTTATCATGGCACACCAGGCGAAAAAAATAAAGGGTCAAACCTTCTCGGGGCCCATCCTGCCTCTACAATGCTATTTGTGATGCCTGAGACCAAGTTCCGCATTTCCATCACTGAATATCTGGTTAGAGAAGACATCATCAATGGATCTCGCTTCTTGCAACTGCCCAAATGATGACAAAATTCAACATAGTCAACCTCTCCAGAGCCATCTGAATCCAAGACGTTGAAAATCGTCTGCATATCATCTCGCTCAATGTCCATGAACTTCATCAACGCATTGAAATTGAGATCGTTGTCAAAACCGTCAAGCATCTCTTTCAAGGACAAGGCACCGCTGCCATCATTGTCCATTCGATCACACAGCACTGCCAACTCGATCATGTTGCGTTCACGTTCCTCCTCTTTTTTCATCATCTTGCGCTCTTGATCGTTTTCTCTAACTTCCGCAGCCTTCTCGACCACTACGGCAAGGATCAAGTTCATGACACCAAGAGAGACTGTCATTAGAATGATAAAGAGCAAAGGAGTAGTCCATGGTGCCTCCTCGGCTAAAGGCAAAGACATCTCACTCCAGCCGTCTTGGGCGACCAACTGCGCGAAGAGGGTGAGAGAAGCTGTGTAAACGCTTTTGAAGCCCAACTTGCACCGTGGGCAGTCTTCGCCATAGGGGATCCTTCAGGGCAGAAGAAGCAACACTTGCAATGCGCAAACATAAGAGGGAAAAAGTTGCTAAGTCCAACAAATAATGGATGGAAATGTGGAAGACACTGGACTGACTGGGGCGCAATGTGGTGAAGAACTACTAGCAGTTGCTAGCAGAAAGTAAATGTGTGCAAATGTTACCTGCATTAGTGATGAAACTAAACAAAAAATGTCTAGAAGCTGGCAGACTGTCTCGTCAACAGTAGGAGGACGTTTTTCTGCGCAAAGCAGCCAAATGGGCCGAGCGTCTGCACATTCACAGGGTGCAAGAACTCTACCACGATGATCGCCCAAATCATAATCACCGAGATCAGCATGATTGAGCCGTATATAATCGGCTTCAAGGCTGATGCTAATCCACTCATCAAAACGTAAACCTCTGGGATCGATATCAATAAACGCCCTGCGCGTAAAAGGCGGACCACTTTCAAGGTCCTGCAAGTCACGTGCGTGACAGGCCTTCTATAAAACCTCTGGAGCTTGGAAAAACTTTGATTTGCAAAGAATAAAACAATTGAATACGTGTTTCTTTTTCCAGCCCGGTGAGGCCGAAGTCAAGAGTAGCTAGTACTGTAACTAGCGCTCATAGTAGCAGGGCTCAAGGAAGCTACCCCCGCCTCAGGGTGGGTGTAGCTTCCTTAAAGGCATCGCACGATTCATTTGGTTGCTAGATTTTTGGAGCTGGGCATTCTTAAGCATGCCGAATCTCGCACTACCAAGGTCCTGAGGAGGGCGATGTTGAGTGTCGAGGAGAGGATCAAAGTCACCCATCCAGGGATCGTCGTCACAAGATCAAGTTGATTCCAAGCATTCCATACCTCTTCTGACAAGACTACATGACTACAAAGGCTATTTTCCAGCAAAAACAAGCGTTCAAGCCGCGGAAGAAACACGGAAAGCGCGAAAGCAGCCTTTGGCTGCCCAAAATGACCCAACATGGCCCCAACATACCCCCAAAACGATCAAACATTGCCCAACATAGCCCCAAGATAGGGGCAACGTAGCCCCAAGATGGGCTACTGAGTGCACGTGAAGAAATTGTCTGATCGTTGGCGACAAGTTTACCTCCAAAAGAGACGTCCCCACAGTGGGGTCCCCACACCTCGAAGAATGCAGTGCTTTTTCGTTATAATTCGCGGTGTTTTCTTGCATCTGGGCTTTTCTAGTTTCTTTCACAATTCGCTGCAATTGTTGGTGTTTTTGACACGTTTTTCTCAAAAACCATTCCTTCCAACACCTCCAAAAATGAAATGTTTTACTGTATTTTACAGTGTTGTTTCTTCATTTTAAGCCACCAAAACCTGCAAACCAACGGAAAGCGAGAAGCGAGCGGGCGCGGTCCTTCTAAATGGCCACGTTCACTAGTGGTTTGCTTTGTTTCCCTCTCTTCTGTGCTCTTTGTGCGTCAGGTGCTTTCCATCCTTTTTGGGTTACTCTTGGTTCTTGGTCTTTGCGAGCCTTGTTGCTAAAAAACTGGCTTTAAGCCTCAATGTGATTTTAGACTGTTGGTTCCTGTTGCGACAAAAACTGGCTCTCGGCCCCAATGTGATTTTCGTGTTGTTGGTTTTTGGGTTTCCTGGTTGGTTTTCCTATGTGCTTTCCATGTCTTTTAAGTTGGGTTGCCTTGTTTTCGCCTCTTCTCAAGTAGGTTAGCCTTGGTCCAGTG